CTGAGTGGGTGGGGTCACAGGGCCCAGAGTTCAGTCTTAGCTGATGCCAACCCCACCCCTCCCATTCCCAATATAGAGGCAAGCTCCAGACTTGGGGTTTCTCCCACCAGCCCCAGCCTCAAAACACACCTCCCTGGAATGGAGAGCAAGTAAGGCATCTGTACTTGGGCAAAGAGACAGAGGCCCAAGTACGTCTTGGGAAGAGAAGAGACATACAGACAACCAGAAAGGGGCTTGGTGACATCAGGGCACAGCAGCATCACAGGAACGTGGAAAGAGGACCAGCAAAGAAACAGAGGAGACATCCCCACTGGAGGACAGCCAAGCCAGCTGAGCAGGAAGAGGCAAGAGGCACAGCCAGAGGTGTGGGAGCAGCAGCAATATACGGCCCTTGGAGGATTTGTGGCAGCCACTCACCAGTCCTCCCTGCTCCTGGGGCACTAAGGCCAGCACAGCCAGAACAGTGATAGGCACAGCCAGCAGGAGGGTCACCAGGGAAGTGGCTCCTGCGACAGCCAGCAGGAGGCATCCCTTCCCCTGGGGCCGCCTACCCCGGCACTCCAGCCCCAGTGCCCCCATTGAGACTGAGCCAGGGCCAGGGCAGGGGGGCTTTCATACCTCAGGGGTGGGGCCGCCCCCTCCCTGTAGACCCACACACCTGGCTGGGACTTTCCGAACACGCCTGCTCCCCTCACCCTGCTTCCTGTTTACCCAGAGCTAGGGTGGGGCAGCTGGATGCCTGGGTTCTCTGAACTGGGGAGGGAGTTGGGGTGAAGAGACAGTCTTTCAGGGTAGAGCTGGAGGGGGCCTTAGAGATCTTCTGACTCAGTGGGAAGGGAAACTGAGGCCCAGAGAGGGAAGCTAGCTTGCAGAAAGTCAGGCAGCTGCAATGAGAACACAGACCTCCAGATTGCTAGTGTGGTCTGCATGCTTATTCTTTTTTAAAAATTAATTAATTGATTGATTGATTGATTTTGGCTGCTCTGGGTCTTCGTTGCTGCGTGCAGGCTTTCTCTTCGTTGCGGTGCTCGGGCTTCTCATTGCAGTGGCTTCTCTTGTTGCGGAGAACGGGATCTGGGCACGCGGGCTTTAGTAGTTGTGGCACACGGGCTCACAGGCTCTAGAGCGCAGGCTCATTAGTTGTGGCACACAGGCTTAGTTGCTCCGCGGCATGTGGGATCTTCCCGGACCAGGAATCGAACCCGTGTCCCCTGCATTGGCAGGTGGATTCTTAACCACTGTGCCACCAGGGAAGTCCCTGGTCTGCATTCTTCTGCACCCCAGAGGTGGGTGCTGGAGGGAGGGCTGCATCCATATCCCTGAGGTCAAGGGCTGGAATAGGAGGACGAGAACTGAAATCTTCAGGGATGGATGTCTAGGTTCCAAAGAAGAACCTGTCCCCACACTGGACTGACCTCCTCCTCTCATTCCCTCGCGCCCTCCAAGCCCCCAGAGCTAGGTGAGAAAGGCAGAGTTAAGCCAGTCCACGGTGATGGCAGCTGAAGGGGGCCTCAGCCTCACCACTGACTATTAACTAACTCACTGAGGAGGGATGGAAATAGAGCATTACCTTCCTTGCTACAAAGAGTGTAGACAGGAGAGCCATGAGGCATCCACCCCCACAGAGTCTACACAGTCTAGAATGAGCTCCATCCATTCAGTAGATGCTAAGTGTTCAGTAAAGAAAGGACAAAAGGATGAATGAGTAAGAAAAACAAAGCAGTAAGGACAAAATGAATGGTATAGTCAGCAGAGCGGTAGGAGTTGAAGGGAGGAAAAACCAGGTCAAGAAAGTTGGAGGTGGTCCCAGATCATTTCCCCTTCTTGATATCTCTGTGTGTTCAGGTAATAATAATAACAACATAGCTAATATCCAGATAGCATTTGGTATGTGCCTGCCACTAATCTGCACACTTTATATATAATAATGCTCTTTCTTCCTTCCTTCCTTTTCTTTCTTTCCTTCCTTCTTTCTTTCTTTTTCTCTTTCTTTCTTTTTCTGTTTCTTTCTTTCTTTCTTTCCTTCCTTCTTTCTTTCTTTCTTTCTTTCTTCCTTCCTTCCTTCCTTCCTTCCTTCCTTCCTTTCTTTTTGGCCACACAGCACGGCATGCGGGATCTTAGTTCCCCAACCAGGGATCAAACCCGTGCCCCCTGCAGTGGAAGCATGGATTCTTAACCACTGGACCTCCAGGGAAGTCCTTTTAATCCTGATAAAAACTCTTAAGAGGGGAACTTCCCTGATGGCGCAGTGGTTAAGAATCACGGGCTCCGCAACAAGAGAAGCCACCGCATTGAGAAGCTGGCGCACCGCAACAAAGAGTAGGCCCCACTCGCCACAACCAGAGAAAGCCCGCATGCAGCAATGGAGACCCAATGCAGCCAAAAATAAATAAATAAAATAAATAAATTTTTTTAAAAACCCCAAAAACTCTAAGAGGAAACTGAGGCACAGAGAAGTTAAAGAACTTGAGGAAGGTCACACAGTAGTAGCAGAGACAGGACTTGAACCCAGGCAGTCTGGCTCCATACCCTTAACCACAAGACGGTTTAAAAACTGAGTACTGACTTCAGATTTGTCCATTTCAGGGTATGTAAATCTTACCTTCCTCACTCCCCCCCAAAAAGAATAGGGAAACAAATACTGAACTTGAGTCAATGATAAACATGGTAAAGGGTTTAGAGGTAAAATGTACTGATGTTTGCAACTTTGAAAGGTATCAAAAAATGAGATGGATTGATAGATATGTGATAAAGCAAATGTACAGAAGAATATTAATTGTAGAACCTAGGTGGTAGGGATAGGTTCACTGTACAATTCTTTCAATTTTTTTCTATGTGTGAATGTTTTAATAATAAAACATTTTGAAACAATATTTTCCTACTGTCCTGCATGGGAACACTGTGAATGGGGGAAGGGAAGGAAGTAGCAGAAAATTTCTGAATCTGGAGAAGGAAATGCTTATGGGCCCACGTACCAGATCTCCTCTTCAGTCCTTGCTTCCACTTGAGCTCCCAAGTCTTCACCCTCCTCAAGGACTAGGTGTGCCATCCTCCAGCATTTATCTCCCTCTCCATCACAGTGACACTATGAGGCCTTCATCTAGGTCCTTGGACTACCACCCTTACTTTTGTGCTCAATATCAGAATGCTGCTCACTGCAGGAAGGCCACCTGGATTGCCCACACCTCTTCCCAACACCAACTTGTCATCAACTTTCTGTCCTAGATCTATCAGCAGTGCTCAGGTCGATCTAGTCTGGCTGTCTCTGACTCTCCTGTTTGTTAATGAGTCAGCCAAGTGCCCTGTTAGATACAGCCCCAGAATACCAGGAGAGTTACCCAAATCCACCGGAACTCCCAGTCTGCCTTGGGAACTGGAGTGTGTGTCCACATATACCAGGATCATGAGCTCTCAGCGACACAGTGTAATTGGGAAAAGTGAATCAGGGAAGGCACCTAGAAGGGATATGATCACTGATGACTTGCAGGATCAATAGGATGGCTGGAGGGCTTCCCTGGTGGCGCAGTGGTTGAGAGTCCGCCTGCTGACGCAGGGGACACGGGTTCGTGCCCCAGTCCGGGAAGATCCCACATGCCGCGGAGCAGCTAGGCCCGTGAGCCATGGCCGCTGAGCCTGCATGTGCGGAGCCTGTGCTCCGCAACGGGAGAGGACACAGCAGTGAGAGGCCAGTGTACCACAAATAAATAAATAAATAAAAATAGGGTGGCTGGAGCTGACAGGGATCACAGGCTGAATTACAGTCCTAGGAGCCTGAAAGGAAAAGATGTTGTAACCCTAACCCTCAAAGCCTAACTTCGTCTCCTAACAATGCTAGGGAGGCACCCAGGCTGGGGGAGAAGTTAAACCAGAGGAGGGGCAGGAATGTCTGAGGTGGCAACACTTTACCGAGGCAGCTCCGGTCAGTCAGGAGTCTGTCCATCCACAGGCCACAGACTCTAGGTAAGCTGGGCGAGAGCAGGGAACCCTCATGAAGGAAACCCAGGGAGGGGACAGTCACCCCCAGAGTGAGGTGAGTCTAAGATGAAGGAATAGAGAATATGGCTTTGAGGTTCCCTGGGCCCTGGGGAATCCTCTGTCTGGCCTCTGTCTCCGCTCCCCAAAGAAATGTAAACAATCCACTTCTGCCACCATTCCCCGTCATGGCCACCGCAGGCCCTCCTCTCCACCTGCGCTTCTGCTCCCCACCTGCCACCCCCCACGTCCCAGCCTTCCTCTTGAACCCAGGATGGTCTCAGTTTCCACACCCTGGTCACTGCATCTGGCTCTGGATGAACTCAGCGGCCCCCTCTTTGCCCTCAAACAGGAACCAGTGGTTGTAGGGCAGGAAGTGCCTGAGGGGAAGTTACGGGCCCCAGACGCTCCTCCATGCCCCACTTCAGCCCCAGCAGTATCTGCCCAAGGGAAGCGGCTCTCCACACCAGCCAAGCGGGGCCCCCCTTTCCCAAGTTGCTCTGGGGCTGAGGGAGCGGCCGTAGGTGCCAGGTGGTGCTGGACACCACTTTCCCTATTTTCCCACCAGTCCCCACACACCCTCCAGACCCCAGCTCCTGCCTCAGCCCCCTCACCAGAAACTAGAACTATCCAGTGCTGGAGAGGCCCCTGTGAACCAGTTGGTCAGCCTAGGGTTGGAGAAACAGAGTGGACTCTGGAGCTGGACTGAGCTGGCCTTGAACCGCAGCTCTGCCACTTCTGGGCTGGACGTCCTTGTCGGAGTCCAGCCTCGAGTATCAGGTCCTTCACCAAGGAAATGGGCACCGTAATACCCTACATTGTTATGGGGATTAGCAGTGACAAATAGAAAGAGCCCAGTTCAGGGCTGGCACATAGATAAGGCTCCTCAGCCCGGGAAATGATTGTAACAGAGGCCCCAGACTTTACAGATGAGGAACTTGGGGCACGTGACTCACCCCAGGCCATTTAGCCTGGAAGAGCAGCGCTAGGTTTCCCAACCTGCAGGCTAGTCTTCAGTCTCCAACCTAATGGAAGCTTGTGAGACAGAAGGTAAGGTAACCCTCCGCCCAGGGAGGGTTGTGGTGCACAGGGAACAGTGGATAAAAAGCGTGTGTGCACGGGTCGTGGGTAGGTGGCCAGGGTCTCTTGGGGCCAGCCAGTGCAGCGGACAAGGGGCTTCATGGGGAGGCCCAGAGAGGGCAGCAATGGTGGTGGGAGGTTTCTGAGGGGCGAGTGGTCTCGGGGACGAGCGAGGTAACTGATGAGTCATGGCCACCTCTGGGAGGAGGTGAGGGAACCCAGTCTGGGGTGAAGAACCTCTGAGAGAATGGTTTTCTGCTTCTAAAACTGTTGGAGAAAGGAGCTGAGATCCCGGACCAGCGAGAAGGACGGGGTAAGCTGCAGAGAGAAATGGGCCCTCTGACACTCACTCCTTTTCCCTGCAGGGATAGGCCCTTACCTATATGGGGGCCTAGGGCTGGGGGTGCTTCTGTTCCTCGTCATGGTCATTCTGTCCGTCTGCCTGTGTCGGCTCCATGGGAGAGGTGAACCCCACCCTCACCTCCCTCATACCCCCTCGCCCCTCACCCCCGGGCAACACCCTGTGCCGTCCCCCACACACCCTTTCCTCCTGTGCTCCCAGAGGCCCCCATCAACCCTGACTCACCCATCCTGCCTGAGGAAGGGGGTAGAAGCCGGGGGGTGGAGAGGGGAGGGGAGAGTGTGCAAAGAGAGGGACCTTGGCTTTTGGCTGTGGGAGCCACAGGGAGGTTGGCAAGTGAGGAAACACCTGCTGGGGGTGGGGAGGGTGGGCGAGGAGGGCTGGAGGTGGCACAAGGGAGGCAACGGCCGAGCCGAGCTGCTTCTTTTCTTCCAGTGAGGAGGCTGGAGAGGAGCTGGGTGAGTCTGGGGCAGAGAAGTGCGTGATGGGGCAACAGCGGGGGCTGAGGTCGGGGGCAGGAGAAGAGGGAGAAACGAGCCGGAGAGACAGAGAAACAGAGGAAGTAAGAGAGAAGCAGAAAGAGGGAAGTAAGGGATGAGAAGAAGAGAGGAAAGGAAAGGGGTAGAGATGGAAAGAAGAAATAAGACAGAAAGGAGAGAGAGGCAGAAATGAGGGAGAGAGAGACAAAAGTGAGAGGCAAAAATCAGAGAGAGAATGAGAGAGACACAGGGAAGACGAGAGAAATCAAGAGAAAAAGTAAGAGAAGGAGATTAAGAGTGATAGAGGGGGAGAGTGAGAGAGTAAGAGAGACACAACGGGAAAAGGACAAGAGAGAGAGACGGAAAGAGAGAGAGAGAGGGAGAGAGCGCGCAAATAGAGGCAATGAGGTAAGAAAGTGGGGCGGGGGAGCAGCAAGAACTCAGAGGGCAGCGTCAGGGGAGGGAGGCTCCTGGGGACCTCCTGTCCGCACCCTCCATCCCCGCCCCAGGCCCAGCTCTCGCAACAGGAGCTCCACTATGCGTCCCTGCTGAGGCTGCCTGAACGGGAGGGACCTGACCTCGGCAACCAAGAAAGGGAAGGCAGCAAGGAGGACCCCAGCACGGACTACGCCTGCATTGCCAAGAACAAACCCATCTGAGCACCCCCAGACGCCTCGTCCAACCCAGGCGGGTGGTCAGGGCCATCCTGTGGTTCACCCAGTAAAGACCATGTTCTCGCCACCCTCTGTGTCTCAGGCTTCTCCGTCTACCTCAAGCCCCAGCAGGGCCACCATCAAGACCTAAGCAACTTACCCTCCCACGCATCCTTACCCACCAGGGACCCACTGTTTAGGGACCCAAGCTCCCCTGAAGGCCAGAAAAGAGCATTTGTCTGTGGGCCATTCATGTCTGATATTCCACTTTTCTCAGGACAAAGGGCCTTAGCCTCCTGGGTGGGAGAAGGAGGTGTGTTGAGTCTCAGGATGATGGTGGGAGGGGACTCTAGGCACAGTCCTGGGAAGCTCCCTCCTTGGACCTTTCCAGACCAGACTTGGTAGAAGGGAGAGTAAGAGTTGGGAGAACCCAGAACAGGGTACATTGGGGCATCTAGAGCAAGAAATACACAAAAGGAGTTAATGGTGGGGCAGAGAGGGATTTATTGGGGGGTATCTTGAAGAACTTGGGATCACTGGGGTCTGAAATCACTCATCAGAGGCCATCCGAGGAGTGGCAGTGTGTTCCCATGTGACAGTGGCCTGGTGGAGAGGCCACAGGAGTAGCTCAGTGCTGCAGCCTCCTTCTCTTCTTGGTCTCTGTCTCCACCTGCTCCAGCCCTCTCAGTGCCCCTCCCATCTCTGCGCCCATTGTCCCAGCTCCACTACTCACATTTGCCCTGGTAACAGATGGTGCTGCCCATGGCCACTGAGAGAAAGCTGAAGACATAGAACCCAGCCCGAAGGAGGAAGACTGTGCCGGCAGCTAGCTGAGGAGGTCCTGCATGTGGGCAGGGATGGCGAGGGGGAGAAGGACTTAGGAAAGGAGGCCCTGGGAAGAAGCGTGCACAGGCTTAGGGAGGACAGTGGGCCTCAGGGAAGGACTCTCGACTCGACTACCAGGGAGAGTGGGGCCTCCGGCCAAGGAGGCACAGCTTCCCAGCACCTCACCTTTCTCCACCACCAGCAGAGTTCCATTCCCTGTTCCGACACCCAGGCCCAGCACCTCCACCCTGCACACGTAGACTCCGGCGTCACGGGCTCGGGTGTCCCAGATGTGCAGCTCAGCCTGGTGGTCACAGAGGAAACGGGAAGAGGGAAGAGGGGCCAGGCGGCCCCTGAACTCTGCGGTCTCATTCCTCACCTCCTTCCCTGGGGCCACTTTGTCCTGGTACCACGTGACGGAACCAATGGCCAATTTCCCTTGGCTGGCATTGAAGGAACAGGGCAGGAAGGCAGGGGTGCCCTCCTGGGTACGGATCTCAGGGGGCTGGGACACCCAGAGAGCACAGGATCCTGGGGGCAGAGAGAAGACCCAGAGAAATGCCTCCCCAATTACTCCAAAGAGAGAAGACAAGAGAGCTTGCAGTAGACTATCCCTGCTGTACCCCACCCACAGAGGGCCCAGAGGGATGAGCACTTTAGATGTCTCATTAAGCCTTTCCTCTTTACCAATCTAATTTCTTAACATTGCTTATTAAATTGTTTTTCAAATTCTTTCCCATACCAACTTTCACCCTCACCCTCTCCCATCATTCTCCAGTTCCATTCACTAGTAACATTTTGCTGAAATTTAACTTGTCACAGTGAAAGTGAAGCTCATTCATGAATGTGGCTGCCTAGTTAACTAATACCATTAATTATATTATTCCAGGTATTATCTTAGTACTAATAGCATTCTGTTGCATACCATCCTTGCTACTTGTTTTTTTGTTGTTGTTGTTAAAGAGCATTAACTAGGGCTTCCCTGGTGGCGCAGTGGTTGAGAGTCCGCCTGCCGATGCAGGGGACACGGGTTCGTGCCCCGGTCCGGGAAGATCCCACATGCCGTGGAGCGGCTGGGCCCATGAGCCATGGCCGCTGAGCCTGCGCGTCCGGAGCCTGTGCTCCGCAGCGGGAGAGGCCACAACAGTGAGAGGCCCACGTACGGCAAAAAAAAAAAAAAAAAAAAAAAAAAAAGCACTAACTAATTAAATCTCCAGGTGAAGACATGGGTATAATTGCTTGGGATCCCTGTTTAACTTATCTAAAATGATGAATTAAACCAATTATTAAAATTCTTGATTAAATTCTCTAGTTAATGAAATTTACCAATCATTCTTCTATTTCAGTGATTCTCAAACTTGAGAGCACGTTGGAATCACCTGGAGTGCTTGTTAAAACAGATTCCCAGGCCCCACTCCCAGAATTTTTTTTTCAGGGGGTCTGGAGTGGGTCCTGAGAATTTGCCCTAGGTCCCCGCTGACGCTGATGCTGGTCTGGAATCCACACTGCATTTAGTCAATGAATATGTCTGACAATTAAAATCAGTTTCATTATGAAACTTAACTTAGATTTAATTAGATCTCCTGAACTCCTAATTATATCTAGACCCTAGATAATAAGCCTTGTTTAATGTTTATTAAACTCATCGAATTAAAACTGACCCCTTAAAACGATCTGACCCCTTCCTTCAAGCCCTTCCTTCCTTCAAGCCCTTGTTTACTGGTTCTTTAAACTTTATCTTGTTAGGAACCTGGCTGGGAAGGAAGAGTTCTAGGATGGAAGCTGGGGAATGACCTTCCCAGCGGGTGACATGGAGGGAACTGCGAACTGGGGAAGCCCACTGGGTATCAGCTTTATGGAGGGACCCCCTGCTTTCAGCCCCCACCCAGTCTGCTCCCCCAGAACATCTATGTCCAGCTTCCCCCATCCTCCATCCTCCCAGCCCCACACCCCTCAGGGTCCTGGGAGAAACCCCTGTCACCTGGATGGACCGTGATGAAGATGAGGAACAGCATCCGGGCCATGTCGAAGGGTGTTCCTGTTGACGAGGGGGACATGAGAAGTGAGGTCTGGGTGGAGGAAAACGACCCACTAGTTCTGACCAGGACTTTGGTCACTGGATGGGGGTGGGGAGTTTCCTGTGACACACAGGACTCACACATCACTTACAAAGGACCTCAACGCCCTAGGGCCTCGGGCATCAGACGCATGCCTCCCTGAGGAAAGAGGATGCTGCTGATGGTGATATCTGGGGGTGATATCTGGGTCGCTAGGAGGTGGGGGCAGCATGTGGGCATGTTGCCTAAGTGTTTGAGGGGGAGGGGGCGTTAGATGGCCGGTGATGCTAGGGTGGGTGGGTGGACGGGTGAGACCAGGATGTGGTTCCCCTATCTTCTGAGGTTCAAGAAGACCAACCCTTTACCAAGAAGTAGCCTCCAAGAGCCTTTCTGGGCTCAGAGCTATCCTACTTCCCCTCCCCTTGGCTCAATAGCGCCCAGGTCTACCCTATCCATTCCCTTCCTTCGAGTCCAGCCCTCCCCCAGGGCTGCTCTAGAAATTCTATAAATGAGAGGATTAGCAGAAGTCAGCTGATTGGTCGTGGCGACAGGGAGTTGCCAGGGACTTTGTCTGGAAGATGCATTTTCGTAGCAATCACCCCGTTTCACTTAGGATGTGTTGACTTGGGTGGATTGGCAGAGTGAGTGCCGCTGATGGGGAAGTTTGGATTCATTCACATTCAGATCCCCATTAAAGGAAATACACCTCTTGCAGAGGTCTGCTTTACCAGGTGTGTTCTGCACAGATTTATCACCCACTGGTCAATTCACTCATTTTTTATTTTATTCATTATTTAGCTAACATTTATTGAGAAATCACAAAGTGCTCCCATTACATGAAATGCATTTTGACAGACCCAAATGAAATACACGTTATGTTACACATAACTCCAAGGTTATGCAGGGATTAGTACAAGAGTATGCAACACACTCTTGTATATGTATTACACACCTACATGAGATAACACAGCACAGAGAAAAGAGGATGATGTGTAATATGCTGGGTGAAGCCTGCCCAGCCCTCGCCACACATTTTCCCTCTGGCTCCTTTTGTATCAGTACATATTCTTTCTTTCTGTCCGAGTTTCTCGCTGTTTCACAATACATCCATAGACTGTGCAGTACACATCTCCGCTGCAGTGATTTGGAGCATTTTTGGAGAAGTAGTCATTTTATGGTTAAGAATGATGGCTCGGGGCTTCCCTGGTGGCGCAGTGGTTGAGAGTCCGCCTGCCGATGCAGGGGACACGGGTTCGTGCCCCGGTCCGGGAAGATCCCACATGCTGCGGAGTGGCTGGGCCCGTGAGCCATGGCCGCTGAGCCTGCGCGTCCGGAGCCTGTGCTCCACAACGGGAGAGGCCACAACAGTGAGAGGCCCGCGTACCGCAAAAAAAAAAAAAAAAAAAAAGAAGGCTGGCTTGAAGTCAGGCTGTGATCAGCTCGCCTACAAACTAGTTACATAATCTTGAACAAATTATTGAACCTCTCTGAACCACCTAGACAAGCACGGTACCTCACAATCTGGGAAGGAGTGACTCAGCCACTCTCTTTCAGTGGAGTGGCTGCCTCCTCAGGGCCATCTAACCAGAGGCTGTGGAAATGAGGTGCCATGGCAAGGCAAGGGCTGCCCCCTGGTGGTCACAGAGAAGGGGGAGGCCTGAGGCACCAATATGTGGCTTTTCTCAACTGGGCCTTAATTCCAGCTTCTGCCCTGTCCCTTACCTTGCCTTGTCCTATCAACGCCCCATCCCCATCCCCAAAGGGTCAATGTGGAGTAAATTGTCTCTTGTACTCAACTGTGGGAACCCCATGGTTTGGGGAGGGAGGGAAGATCACCACCAGTGGAGTGGGGGTGAGGGGCTGGAATGGGCAACTGGCCTGAGGATAAAACTCCGTATTTCACAGGGCATATAATTAATCACATGGCACTACTCCATGTACCAGGGCAATGCAGCTTAGAAGCCAAGTCAACATAAATAGGAATCATGGTTGTCCTACTTACTGTAAAATGGGAGTAGCATCTGTCAGTTTTCAGACTCCACTGTAGTGGAGGGTCAGTGTATGTTAGCCTTTATCTCCTCCCCAGTTCTGGACTAGAATGACCGAGATTATAGCTGGGCCTGAACTCAAAGGTGCTTTGCTCTTTCAACCTCTTTTGTCCACCTAAGATTTCCAGTATCCAAAACTGTTGTGGATTATGAAGACAGTACTTGGCTTTTTTTAAAGTCCATCTAGAATAAATCCTGGTGTATGTGTGGTTTCAAGGACCCTTTCAGTAAATCTGAGACCCTCTAGGGCACTTTAACCTGTGGGATGGGAACTGCTGTGCTAATCAGCTCAGCAAACTCAAGGATGTAAGTTTTCAAAAGAAACTTTTACCAGGTACTCAAGAAGAAAGGCAACAAGTAGGAAAGTTGTGAAATGGATGTACACATGTCTCTGGTCTGATTGCTTTAACATCCAGCTGTGGGCTGCCTTGAGGGTGGTCAGGGCCAACAAACTCCCAACTTAGAGCTTAGAGCAGGAAAAGAAGTGAAAAAAACAGAAGGGATTCTGGAATCCCAGCACAAGTGATCCCATCTCACCTGGTGTTTCCTCCTCTGCGTGTTGGCAAGGGTGAGACTTGGGTGACTTCTCCTCCAGCTGAGTCCTTATAAATATTTTTCAACTAATTAATGGTTCTCAGGCTATACTTTCAACCTCTGACCATGACCTCTCTGAGGTTCACCCCACCTCCTTTGGCCTCTCCTTCTTGCTGTCACTGTCCAACTCCCTCACATTCACCAAGAGCAGACGCCCGACTCTCCAGCTTCCTCTCTATTTCAATCTCTGCCATCTCTCTGGAAGATTTAATGTCCATGTATATGACATTATATACAGATGTAAATATATATATAAAGTACATAGATCTTAAGTGTACAGTTTGATGACCTCTGGCAAATATATACACCCATGTAAACAGCACTGCAATTGAGATACAAATCATTTCCACCACCCCAGGAAACTCTCCTATGCCCCTCTTTGGTCAATCCCCTTTCCCTCCCAGGAGCAACTACTGATTTATACCCCTGTAGATTAGTTTAATCTGTTCCTGAACTTCATACAAATGGAATCATATAGTATACACTACTGTATCTGGCTTCCTTCATTCCGCATAATGTCTGTGAAATTCATCTCTGTTGTTCCAGGTATCAGAGGCTTGTTCCTTTTTGTTGCTGACTGGTATTTCATTATATGGATGTACCACAGTTTGTGTATCCATTCACCTGATGATGTACAATTGGATTACTTCTATTGGTTTGATATTATGAGTACATCTCCTATGAACATTCTTGCACACAATTTTCAAATTACTTTTCTATGCACTAATTTCACAGTTCCTTCACCTTGCCACTACTCCATCCATCATCTTGACTATATGACCTATACCTTGGATCTTTTCTCCATTTTACCTCTTCTTTCACAGGGACACAAAAGCAATCAGACCTGAGTCCCTCCCAACTCCTGTACCCTCCACATGTGCTTTCACACCATTCTCCTGTTGGAAGACTTTTGGGATGTTTCTCTTACTTTCATTCAACTGAGCATCTACTATGGGCTTACCTAGGCAATTCTGTCATAGCCACAGTTTTTTTTTTAATAAATATATTTACGTACGTATGTATCTATTTATTTTTGGCTGTGTTGGGTCTTCGTTGCTATGCGGGCTTTCACTAGTTGTGGTGAGCGGGGGCTACTCTTCATTGAGGTGGCCTCTTTTGTTGCGGAGCACCGGCTCTAGGCACGCAGGTTTCAGTAGCTGTGGCACGCAGCCTCAGTAGTTGTGACTCGCAGCCTCAGTAGTTGTGGCACACGGGCTTAGTTGCTCCATAGCATGTGGGATCTTCCCGGACCAGGGCTCAAACCTGTGTCCCCTGCATTGGCAGATGGATTCTTAACCACTGCACCACCAGGGAAATCCATAGCCACAGTTTAAACTACTGCTAGTCTCTGTCGAGTCCCCAGTCTATATCTCCATCTCAATTTGTACCTTTACCTCAGGCCTCTTTCTGAGATCTGAGTCCAGATTATCTAACTTCCCTCTAGACATCTTCCCCAGAATGTACCACAGGCATTTCAAAATCATCAGTGTCTACCCAAACCGGGTCAGCCTTCTATATTCCCCACCCCAGTGAATGGAAACAATCTACCCAGTCACTCAAAGGAAAATCCTGGGACTTATCCTATTCTGCCTTCTCCCTCCATTCCCCCATCCAAAAAAACCCCAAGTGCTATCCATTCTGCCTCTGAGATATATAAGTATCTTTCTCTGCCTTTTGATTCTCACTGCTAGTTAAGGCCCTCATCATCTCAGGATGAAACTAGGACAGTTGCTTCTCCGGTGGACAGTGGGTTTCTTCTCAATATTCATTCCACGCCTCCCTATCTGAGCATCAGGGCTCATCCATCTATTCAACTATGCCTTTACTGAGTGCCTTCCATGTGCTAGACATCCTATCTTCATCTTCCCTGATCTCTCTTTCCC